AATGAAAACCATTATTCATTTAGCTTTGAATTATAATGTCAATAAGTTTTATGTATAAAGTACATTTCATTGTTATCGTAAAAAAATGTAAATTTTTCAAAACTAATCTAATTTCTTCATTAAAATCAGTCAAGACATGTCAACCATGAAATACTTGTAAGTAGTAGAGTTGAAAAAGTGTCAATCAACGCCAATTTAATATTTGTATTGAATAATACATATATTATAAAAAGACTAATATTCTGTATAATTTTATTTTATGTTTATGGCTTGGAGATTCTTTATATAAATTAAAACAAAAAGTGTTTTAAGATTTAGAAGTGTTTAGGAGAGATCAAAGTAATTGTTGAAGGGGCACGACCAAAAATATTGCATTTTATTTCATAAGTTTATAAACTCTTTTCCTTCTCATCCTCGTATAATATTTATGATGAATAAAAAGATACAAGAACTTTGTATGTATGTGTGTACGACATACGCGTAACATACATTTTGTCATTAGCATTATCAATGGCAATATATGGCATGTACACATTCCATTTTTCATTATATGTTACATTGTATATGTTAAAATCTCCTTCATACAAGTGAAATCTATCTAATGCGGTGAAAAGAAAATTATCAATATAGCATGCATCGAACGAATATCTAAAAGTGTGTTCAATTATAGTGATACGAATGATTGTAGTAGAAACACGAACAATTGTTATCATGGTTATATGTTCCAAACTGTACAATGGAAAGCTGTCACAATCAACTGAAATGTTCCCCATTATAATTAAACGATATGTAAATATAGACACACATTATATATAGTAATCGACATGCAACAACTCTCATATATATATATATATATATATATATATATATATATATAAAATATATGTATGTATACATATATACACATATATATTTATACACATATATATATGTATGTGTGTATGGAAAAGCAGTAAAATGACATCCATGTGTATGAAGATATATTTATATTCTTCCTTAGGTTTATTCTATAATTAGAGAAAAGTCCGCGAAATCAATTACTATAATCAATTTAAAGCATAACAGATTAACAGAGATTGTTCGTGCTAACAAACTAGATTCAAAATTATGGTAAAATGCGTGTGTGATTCAGGAAAACTGTTAGCTTAATTTAATGTTATATAGTAAATCTTTCTCTTATGATAAGTAACTAATTAAATATACTTGCGATTATATTAAAGTTTTAGACTTCAAACCTCATCTTTGTTGGGAAGATATACTATATAAAGAAATTGTTAAGTTTTATATGCACTTTTAATTATAGCACGAGTTGTCTCTGAGAAAGTTAAGTTGTATATGTATGTAACAAAAGGATAATTCTCGACCATAGTCTGTGTAATCACTATAACATGCTGAATACCCAATTTAGGAAATTAATCAAGTCGATGTTGCTAGAGTTTTGTAAATATTTATTCGCTTTACATAGAACTGCGATATATGGAATTTTGATTATATCTATAGTATTTAGTAGACAGAGAGAGAGAGAGAAGAAAGAAATTTATAAAATTTTCCAAAACACGGCTAGCTTTATCAGTTAAATTTCGGATGTGATAACCAATATGCTAGACAATTAATCATAGGCATAGCATATCAGAAATGTTATCAAATTATGCTTGTGATTATTTGACGAGCTTGCTCTTCACTTACTTCCATTATAAATGACGTGATTTTGTAACGTTGGTTGTTCAGTATTGCGACAACTCGCTGTCTCGTCAGATAAAAATATTGCAATATTTTTGAGATTGCTGTAACAATTACGATTCCAGTACTATTATGTATTAATCCAGTACTATTATGTCTTCTTTACATACACATACATAGACACATTATCTCGGTCAATTACAAGAATATTTGTTTTTGTACACATAAAAATATATTGAAGTGAATGTAACTTTAATACAATTTCTGGCTTTAATTAGATAAATCGTAATTTTTATTTTTAACAGCCTTGTTCCTTCAAGGCGCAGAGTAACAAAAGTAGGCATAATAATAATGTTTGCAGAATAGATATCATTAGGTATCGTGGAAAGTATGTAGAAAATATTTCAGACTGTCAAACAAGTATATATACAGGATACTATGAAAGCTGTAATTTTGCTAAGTGAAATAACCACATATGTTTTATAATTCAAAAATTGATATCTTTTTTGAAAACAGCCCAATAAAAATTCAATAATTATTTGTGCCATTATTGATCTTGATAAAGCTAATTTTATAAGGAAATATGTTTTTTTTCCTATGTAAGACAATGACGAAGCAGTGAAAATGACATGTTGCTGATATATTATTCAAAAGAATTGTGCGTAAACACTGTACAACTGTTCATGTAATCTTTGGCACTGCAGTGTTTATATTTGTTATTTCTAAACTCTAATTTTTACAAATTGTAATTGTTTCTCTTTTATAAAACATCGAAGAATTACTGCATTTGGCATTCGTTGTTGTTAAATTAACAAAATGTAACATTTTCATAAAACCTGATTATGTAGTTACAATAATATATCGCAGTATCTTATTCTGCATTATTAACTATCGTAAAATAATTTTTCTCCAAAGAAATTATATTATCATTTTTCAACGTCGACGTTTACGCAAAAATGATTTTCGATTGAAATGTGAAAATTGTCGTGAATTCATAATAATCATATATAAATTGATATTGATTGATCCTGAATTAATCATGAATGAATCGTGGATATGAAATGTTTTTTTTTTCAGCGTGCGAACGCAAAGCAAAAACGCATTATTTTAGAAACGCATCAGCATTGTGAACTTAAGATACATATATAGGTATATACATATGTATGTACAAGTTTTACATTTGTTCTCCAACGAATGCGTGAAATTTATTTGTTTTCAGGAAAACTTGTATTTAATTTTTTAGCAAAATTTTATATGCGATTCCTTATAGCTGATATATCTTTTAGTAATATTGAATTTTAATTCTTTATTACATTTCGTTCTCAAATGAGAATAAAATTCATACCAAACATCTTGTACCAAATTTTGATAATAGGAGATTTTTATGTACGTCTGGTGTATATATATATATGCTAAATAGTGCGCATATTAGAGCAATAATTTTTAATTAAATCAGGGGATCTTGTAACATTTATTTTTTATTTAATTTGTAACGTATACATATATATGCTCTATATTGAAATATCAACAGCGTAAGTTCGTGCAACTAAAATATTATGTTAATTGCAATTAAAGAGAGTAATTTGATTAAAAATTTTTCGGTACAATGCTGAAGTGTTTTACAACAAATTGAATATAACTGCCTGAATCGGTGAGTTAATATTTGTAATCGATATACATTTATAGAATTCATTTATATGTAGTATGAGAAAATAATATACAATAGATGAAAATATTCCTTTTATTATTTTATTAATACTGTTTTATTGTTAAACTTTATTATTATTGTCTCATCACGCGTGTCAATATTATATAAATACAATATATAAAATGTAAAATATTATTAAATAAATACAATATATATATAATTACATTAGAGTATCTATTCCAATAAAATATAAAATTTTGTTGGGATAGATACTAATATCTTTCTAATATAATAAATAATCAATCGTAAAATGCATTACACGTAACCGAGAATCGCGTAACCGTTCTTGATAATTATTACATGAAGATTATTTTATTTGTAAATTTAAGTAATATATAAAGACATTTTGTAATTAAATTGATGATTGGAAAACAGTATGTAAGGTGCTATTTGCATCTCCAATTAAGGCTTAAAAAACAGTTTTGAGGCCGTTTAATCCAATATATTGATAAAATAATAAAGATGAAAAAAAATGTTAAACTGTGAACCAATTTCGATCCAATTTACCGATCCTTTTCACGCGATAATGAGTAGATTGGATCTTACTAGTTTGTTACTTAATTAACGTTATTTTTTGTACATTATATTATCTTTCTGCATAACTGTACTGTATATGATTTAAGTTTTTGTTTGTAATGTACATTAAATATGTAGTACACAGGTATAGAAAAATATGTATGACGAGAGTCACAAGTGAAATCAAAACATGTTAAGATTGCATTATCTTTTAGTGTGCGATACCTATTTACAAGTTACAGATGGATAAAGGAAAAATGCAAAAATATAAAGATCTCTCATTTCTTTATATATCCGTCTATACATATACACATTGTGCTTCAACTGACATTGATAAAAATATGACGTATATAAGTATATATATATATATACATACAAATTGTTCTTGCTGTAATGTATTTCAAACATTAACAAACTACATCCTGCCAGTTGTAATAATACAACAAAAATTAGCTCTTCTCACACATTGCGCATACAATTTATATTACTATTTAAATCTACAGCATGTATACATGTAACAAATGTCTTTACAATATTACAATGCATATATATTTATGTATAAGAAATAACCGGTAATATACAAATGCATTTGCGTTCGTACACGTAAAATCTATTGCGTTGGCGAAAACGAAGTTGGATTTAATATGCGCGAATGCATTTCCCTTATTAAGGGAACAGTGTAAGCAACACATTCGTCCCAGCCGGGTGATCTCCACGCGCTTTCGCGCGTTTCCTTACGTGATTGGAGATTTTTGTAACCTAAGAAGAAAGACAGATATTATTCGATATATATATATGAAGATGAAAAAGCAACATATGTAAAGATAGCACGATATAAACAGAACTTTACTTACACCAGATATGGTGAACATTGTACAGTCTACCAATTTGCGCAAAGTAACCAGCAAATGGTTCATCATTGTTGCGTCTATAATTAATAGCTTTGGCCCAATTGTTTCCCCATTCTATCATTGTACCCGGTGTTAAACTGTAACTACGTATTTCGTATTTGTTCGGGCCCTTTCGTTTTTCCAGCGGTGGCCAAAAACTGAATGCCAACAGATATTGCAAATGGCGAGATCTCAAGTAATTTCCTCGTTCCCTGAGCAGTCGATGATAAGACTATGGAAAATTTATAAATAATCATTGTACACATCTGGCATTTTCCTTTTTTTTTTTTTCACTACTTAAGCTAATGTATAATATTATGTACCTCATCTTGAGAAAGCGCAGCCTGTGCATGATCTATACATTCGTATCCACCCGTGTATTGCCACAAGTGTAAGGCCTGATCCAAATCTCCTACTTCCACTGTCCACGAACCAACTAATTCCAAGTTCAGTTCAGATTTCTTTGAATGTATGAGATTGACATTTTCCTCACTGTATAATATAGGAAAAAAGTGTGTTAAAATAATTCAATTTGAATCAGGTTTGCTTAAAGATTAATAATAATAATAATCAAAAGCAATATTAATACAAAGAGAGATACTTTCCATTTAGTACTTCTATTAAATCCCAAGATTAAAAGTCACAAAACAAAAAGTATCTTAGCCATTCTGATATCAATTATATACATACATATGTTAGCACTGTGCAATAAAAATGAAGCATTAATATACAAAAGAGCTTTACGACACGTATAAGAAACAGTCTTGTAATACATTTTCCAAGTAGATTTCAAAGATTACAGTTATGTGAAATTATAATTTCTAATAAAAATTGCAAAAATTAACAATAAATAAATTAAAGATATCACGATGGCTGAACTTAATTCTGTTTTATCCGAATATACATAGGGTCAGTGAACTTGTTACACGCAATTCGGACAAGGTCACAAAAATGTCGACTCACTAATTTTTCAAATATTTGTCAATCGAGTCCGGTCGAATGTTGTGAGTGTGCAGAGCATAAATAACTTCCTTGTCAGAGAGCATCCGCGAGTGCGACTCCTTCGTAGGCTCGATCTTCCTGACCAGGAGCTTGCTTATCCATCCATCGCTGATGTCTCTCCGTTCCGATGACCTTGTTAGAGATCTGCGACGAATATACATGTAATCCGATTAGAGGCGATACTTTGGCCCGCGTCGTCGCGGGCTCTCGTTAATCCGTTAATCGTTTACGTCGAGCCGGATGACGATGCTTGCGCCTACCTTACGGCCACGAGCAGCGGCAGATTCCCGTTGCCGGCGAAAGCGCTCGGAACAACTCCAAATTTTCTTCTCAAAACGGCGGCCATTTCTTACTGTATCAACGCGCGCGAATCTCTCCTGCGAAGTGTCGTCGTCCGTACTCCGACCTCCTGATCTGCGATTGCTCCGGGATTACACGCGGCGACGTGTCCGACGAGGCTCTGCGGAAAGCCGCAAATTTGCGCGGTCGGTTTATTTATATTCCTGATCCCCATGCGTGATTTTTCTTTCTGCACGGAAAGACGAGACTTACGGCCATTGAGAGAGAGCAGTATATATTATATATGTATTTACCCGAATGCCGGATAAACATCCGGCGCATCTCCACGCAGGCGCGTCACAACTGACAGGTGACAGCTGACAGCTGATAGATGACAGGTGACAGGTGATAGAAGGGCTGATTTTTCAAACTTCTTGATAAGTTTTACCCGATAGATAGCATATCTCTGTCTCTTTTTTTAGCACTTATCTGTAAAGAAAATCTGGATTTTATATCACAATGGCTGTCAATTCGTTCGATCAAATATAATTCTAATAATTTGTAAAAGTGCATTTTGACAGAAAGATAACGAATTGCTACCTTTCTTTTCAGTTACGTGACTTTAAAATCTCTCTCTCTCTCGACAGCCGGTCTTTTGTTTTTCAAAGTCCCTAGCTTAATTTCGACCAATCGTAGAGCGAGGCGGCGTTTTTAGGGATTTGTCGCTTCTTATAGGGATTTTCCTTACTCGCAGTTGACAGGCCAGCAGCTCGGTCGACTCGGCCGGCTTCGCTTGGAAATTTCTCGAAGGAGGGCACTAGTTATATCGCGTTATCCTCTTGAAAGTACGTAATTTCTCGCATCTCTCGTGTGAATACGAACTGACGCCGATATCGTCGCCGTCGTCGTCGTGTGCCGGTACACGCACAGTGTTTCCGTAGAAAAAGATTGAAATTACGAGGTATCTCTTCATTCGACAACGAATTCCGAGAACGACTCGGCGTACGTTTTACGCGCCATCGATACGAAACGAATAAAGGACGACAAGTCGAGGTGGGTGTCCCCAGGTCCACCAGGTCACTTATTCTCCGTACGATGACAATTGTTCGCTCGATCAGTGAATTCAATAGGTTAATAAAAATGACGCCGATCGCGTATTCTTTTCGCGAAATCTACACATTTTTCGCTAAAATCGACATTTTCGCGCCTTTTTTCGCTCGCCGCGAAAAGGAGCAAAATTGTCGTAAAAGGAGGAGCGAACAATTAATACGCGCTGACAAAGTGTTTGAATGATAGTAAGCCGGGAAGAGCCGGCGAGAAGAGCCTTTTTCTATTTTTAGATCACCTGTATAAATGGGAATTTTGAAATATGTTATCGGCGTTACATGCAATAGACACGCCGCAAACTTGCATCTTTTCTTATGTTTATTTATTGTTAGTAAACAAAATGGAATACGCGATAAGAGATTTATTGTGTCTATTGCACAAGAAAATTGATGACCTCGTCGCGCAATTTTTAATTCCAATTTTTTATTTAGACTATCCGATATATATATATATATATATATATATATATATATATATATATTAAGGAGTGTTGATATGTTATATGTATATATTTTATTTTAATCTTTAGAGGACGGGAAGCCAATATTTTGGCTCACCTATAAGGGTCGCTTATTTTCATAGTACAATAACACTATAATAAAGATATAAAAATTCTTACTTTAAATTACAAAAGTTTACGAAAAAATACGCCCGTCCTCTAAAGATTATTTATATATTTATATTTTTTATTATTATTTATAAAGTAATTTTGTGATCAATATATATATATATATATATATATATATATATATATATTTTATATATATGTGCTGTCATTTAATTTTGTCTATGTGTGATGCAACCTTGGCCTTTTTCGTTCATAGATTTAATTTTTTTTAACAAAATTAAAAGTAAAGCTTATGCGAGTTTGAATTGAATAAAAAGACAGATTAAATATATGTATATTGCAGCAAGATATAGAAAACTTAAAAAAAGAACAGATCTGAGAACTCGAAATGACAAAATTTTTTTACTAAATTATTCAATTACTTGCATATCAGTGTAGAGAATTTATATATTTATTTATATATTTATGTATATATATTTTATTTTATTTATATATTTATGTATTATATATTTTATTTTATTTATATATTTTATTTTATTTATATATTTATTTATGTATTTATATTTATTTATTATTATTTATAAAATAATTTTGCGATCGAATGGAAAATCGATTAAAGCGCGAACGTCAAGTGTCAAAATGTCAATTTTTCGCGCTTGAATGCATTTGACTGTCGGCGAGCCTCGAAGTTCACCGAAGATACGCGATGATTCTCGTCCCGGCTATTTCCAGATCTTGATTACGAAAGATCTGAATTTAACCGGTTAAATAAGAAACGGAATGAGCCCACCTATCATAATTCTAACGACGCATCAAACACGAGGCCGCTTCGATAAAGCGCTATATTTTCCTAATGGAAGGCATCTCTTTTTGTAGTGCACATGCAAAGTGCACGTGAAACGAAGCACGTGTTTAATAACTTTAAAAGTCTTATTATCGCGCAAAGAGATGTTCTGTTATCTAATTTTATTATATCACTTTATCAAAGGTATTTAATATATTTAAAAAAATTATAAAGTCATATTACTATGTTTGATTAATTAAAATGTATATATAAATTGTATATTGAAATCGTTAGATCTCTCTCGAGAAATCCTGAGTTCTTCGAAATATATTATTATTAATCCGTTCTCTTTCCCGATGCAATTTTTTTTCTCTGCTCGAAAGTAATTATGGCGAGCACTCCATTAGGTAAGGACAATAAAAATTACAAACTGATTAGTAAGTACTCCAGTGCAAAACTGAAAGGATTAATACACTGGAAAAAATTGGTTAACTTGACTAAACCTTCCAATTAAATATTATTTTATTAATTAAAATATAAAAATATTTAAATTAAATATAACATATTAAATCTAACAAAACGTATATATATATTTGATTTGAATACTAATAAATAAATATATATATATATATATATATATATATATATATATATTCAATTAACAAAATAGTAATTTAATTGAAAGGTTTAGTCAAGTTAAAAATTGTTTTCAATGTATATGATAGTAGAAAATATCTCAAATAAAATGCTTCAGATTTACAAAAACGGAGCACTCCGTTGCGTTTGTTTGCACTTAACATAGTGAGTTCTTGCTTCGTTACCTTAGCATGTTTTCAGCTTTAATATATTTTTGATTGATATGTTTTTTTGGTCAATGATAATTTAAAGTTATCTCTACTCAAGAATGTTCATTCATAATGACTCGGAATTGCTATATCGGTATATAATTAAGCGACAATGAATAACAAATATAACGAATAAACTATGTAAAACAAACAAGTTTCTAAAGAAACATTTCTGGTTCAATCTGATTCGAGCTTGAAAACGATATCCTCTCATGATACGCGTTTTTTATCTCTATTTTCCATACAAACCAGAAATCGTCAATATTCTGATAGTTATATGCGTGATCTTTTAATGCTTAAAAATATTAAATACGAATGCTTATCGTATTTCTTAGCATTTGTAGTTTCCGTAGCATTGCGCGGTTGAAGGGTCACTTTGATTCTATTGTGCATTCCAATGTCCAAAGCTTATCTGCGTAAAATAGATTTCTTTATAGACCATATGTGATATTATTACATCCGAAATGATATCAGATTAATTAAATCGACAAATTGACAATTTAATGTAAAGTGAATTCTGCTTAGACAAAACGTAAAAGTTTGAAATAGATAAAAATAAAACAAAAATTAAATTTTATACAAGGTGTAGCTAAATAAGTAGCGAAAAAATTTTAGGAGCTGATTCTTTGTCGATAATTAAGGGAGGTTTCTTATATAAACATATACTCTTATATTCTTCCCTGAGGAGTTACATTTTTTTAAAGAGGGAGGTAAAAATTAAGTTTTCAGTTTTTTTCCTCAAATTTCAGACAAATTAAATAAATAAAATGGAAAATATTTACCAAGTTTCATTTTTTCTTCAGGGAAGGATATAAGGGTATATGTTGTATATAAAAAAACTTCCCTTAATTTTCGACAAAGAATTATCTCTTAAACTTTTTCGCACTTATTTAGTTATATCCCGTAAAGATATACAGTACAGATTAGATATAATCGTTGAAAGCTGGGGATCTGAAAGGAAACTGATGCTAATTCGAGACTGATCCCTTAAAATACCTTAAAATCTTTTGATTAATTTCAATTAGGTACGCCATGTTATCAATTTATGATCTTAGATCACATTTTATGTCCTCTATCTCTACGAAGAGATACGAAAATAAGCGTAAATTAAATTCTTTCCGAGCACGATATACAGATCTAATCTGTCTCTATATTTACAACACTCATTTTTCCATTGATAAGAACACGAAAAAGGCTGCAAAATTCACGAAAAATATATTTTTTTCAATGAAAATGCATAGAAAAAAATCTTCTTTTCTATTTCTAATAATTTTTCCCCACATTTTTATAATTTTCGAAAAGTTTCAAAGTTGTGAAAACTTTTCACACGTTCACAACTATTAAAAATCTTATACTAAATTGAAAGAGTAAACAACAGCTATTCGAGCTATGATTTCAGTTTTAAAATGCATCGGGCAGTTTAAAAAATATATATGACTCTCTTTCTCTCTCTCTCTCTCTCTAGGATATTTTCAGTTTCGCCTATCGGCAATCCAGTTTATAAACGTGTGATTTTGATTAAAATACAAGTTGTTTGGATATCCTATTTTCCTTCTTCGTTTCCCCCAGAGAGAAATTTCATATTTATTAAGTTCACACACCGCTTTATTAGAATAACTGGCATATCAAGCGTTGAATTGAAATGTACATTTCGAAAGTTCATTGTTTACGTTTTTTATGTACGCCGATGCATATTTAATAAGCCATTTCGTTCGTTCGCTGATCGATGCATATATCGGAGTAAAAATTCGCGCGATGACGCACAGCGTCATTTGGTCGCGACATTTTCAGGACGAAAAAGATACAGTTTTCTTACAACAGTTTTCTCTCTCGCTCTTCACCCACACGTCATGTAATCCGCTTGAACGCGCTGTAAACATCTTCTACTTCCGCGTACATAGATTAAAACGCATGCACCGCGTGCGCGACGCGTGCCAATTTTCCTCGCCGTGAGTGTGTTTTGAGCCGATGACACGCGTTCGCAACGTGATGATAACGCCTTTTTTCATAATATACTCGTAATCGTAAATACTATCATTCCTTAACCAGACGCGCTTAACGCGTTTGCGAATGACTAATCGAAAGACTTTTCTTCTTAGGCTTATCGCGAAACTAATGATGGATCTTATTAGCGCTAATACTCCGGTTTTTTCCTCGTGTAAAGCTGTTACTTACATCGTGGAAAGAAAGCAATGTTATTTTTCATAGTTAATTTTATATTATATATCTTGGCACTCAAGATCTTCCTCTTTTTCTGCTCTCTTTTCCAAGTTTTAGATAAATATGAAAGAATTATTATACGCGTTTGCGAGAGATACAGACTTATACATACACAGACAAATATTTAATTATCATGCCTAAAAAAAATTAGCTATCATATAATTACAATAAATTTTAGCTGTCCCTATATTGCAACTTGAAATTTAATTATCATGCCTAAATTTTAGCTATGGTAACTAATATTTTTTAGCTAAAAAATATTAGCTATTATAGCTAAATTTAGGCATGATAATTAAATTTCAAGTTATATAATACAGGGACAGCTAAAATTTATTGTAGTTATGATAGCTAATTTTTTCCATATACATAGAAGCGTGTTGGCAATTTAAATCTTAATTTAATTCTTAATTTAATTTGTAAATGCTAAAACGATTCTACTTCTGATTTCGAGTAAACTGATACGAATCACGATATTCTTAATATACGCTTCTCTCAAAATCAATTCATTGATAAGATTCATTCATATGCTAATCGTTTGTTCAATAAAAGGAGAAATAATACACGAGATTATCTTATCGCGTGTACAAAGAAGGTCCAAAGCAAAACTCATAAATCGATGTTTAATTTGCGAAACGAAAATATTTAATCGGTAAATGAAAGAATAATCGATCCTTCATAATTCGTGACGACCTAGTCTCGATTTTATTATTTTAGTGTTCCAAAAGTAGCACGCCTCCGTCAATTTATTACAAATTAAGAGCTGATTTTTCCAATTTCTTAATAAGTTTTACACGACAGGTAGCACATCTTCGTCTCTTTTTTTAGAGCCTATCGGATAAAATTTACCAAGAAGTTGGAAGAACCGATCCTAAGAGCTGATTTTTCCAATTTCTTGGTAAGTTTTTTACCCGACACAAGTAGCATATTTTCATCTCTTTTTAGATTATAAATTCTAAAAAAGGAGACGAAGATATGCTACTTGTTGGGTATAAAACTTAACAAAAAGAGTTGGAACAACCGGCATCGCGATCTGCCAAAATCGCGGCATAGCGCAGATGTCGCGCGCGAAAGAAGGCCGGCCACTCGAGGTGGAAGAAGGCGCCTCGATGGTAGTCGATCAGTATCCGCGGTCAGTGATCGATCATGCATCTCGAGCGACGTCACCTGTCCGATTCGATCCGGTCCAGTTTCCGGACGACGATTCGTCGAACGCGGTCGTTGAAGTCTCGCGGTATAGAGCATCTATCGCGGATGATCATCCGCTATGGGTGAGGTTCGAATTGTTCCCGCGCGATATCTCGAAGTTGAACGGAGGGAGTCCCCCCTGAGAGAGCGTGTGTTTACATCACGATGCGGACTCGAATGGGGATGGTGACGACGTCACGGGTGGCATCTCGGGTGACAGCTCGTCGGGTGACAGCTTTGACCGATGACGGAGGAAGACGACGACACGACGACGGTCGAGAGGGCATAGTCGTGCGGGTGGTGGCTGAAAGGTCGCGGCCCCCGTCGTTTGATACCGTTCTAGGGAACGCACTTTGGACCAAATGATCGTGCCGGCTAAGAGGAATAAAACGCGACGTTAACGCGTTGCTTCAGTGTCGTCTCGGCTACGAAACGCGACGCATCGCAAGGTCACCCTGTCACCTGCTCGCTCTCTCGCCGGATTCTTTTTTTTCTCTTTGAGAGAACCCTCGATCCTCGCGGGGTACCATGGACCCCAGTCAAGAACGGCAGTAAAACGCCGATAAGAGAATAACGAGAGAAGCATTTGCGATCACGAACCGATTATTTCTTTCAGAAAAAGAGAGATAGAGGGAGAGAAAAAAAAGAGAGAAACTGAGGATAAAAGAGCCGCATCTTTCGCCACGAGTCCTATATACGCGTGGTTGCCCACGTGACACGTGACACACGACGTTGACGTTTCGCGCGAACAAGAACGACCGCGGCGATTCCACCTTTCTTCTCTTCTTTCCATTTTTTGTCACGTTCTCCGTAAATTCACCATGTCCACACCATGTCCACCATGTACCATCATGTCCACAGAACCGGGCTTCACCTCCAACGGGAGCATGATCGTCGTGAGCAACAGGTTGCCGTTTGTGCTAAAGAGGAACGATATATCTGGTCAACTGGAACGCAAAGCCAGGTTAGTGTAATTCGCTTCTTTTAATAAAACAAACATGTATACATATATTATATGCTGTTATCGTACGACATACAAACATGAATGATGTATTGCAAAAAGAGCCTCGTTTCTTGTCACTCTTATGTTGTAATCGGTGACATTTATTGATGTCTTTATCGAGTGCACTTTAACTGTCTAGAATATTCTTATTATATACAGCAGATTATTTTTATCTCTCTCATTTGCATTTTGTTATTAAGTATATAAATACAATAATACAATCGATTTTCACGTACACGTACGCTAATTATGTGTGTTTACTATTTTAATTTTCAACGGAATTTCACATTTACACAATTACTCTCTCTGTTTTGATTTTACACTCTGAAAATATTAAAGAGCGCGTTTCGTCATATCTTACATTTTCTCTGGATATACAAATTGTGTGTATTGTTTTTTTCCTCATTTGAGTTTTCTCTGTTATTCTATGTATATTTACATTAATCGAATAATACAATCGTAATGTGTCGTTTGCAATAGTTAAAACTGCACCATTTTGACACCAACATTGTTTTGCTCGCTTTTTATTTTATATTTTTACGAGGAACATGAGGCCCGAGATAACAAACATGATAAATTGACGCGATTATGTACGAGTATATAGAGAGTTACATCACTGTCATTATCTCTGCAGCAATTTTTTCGAGGAATTATATATGCTATTAACAGGATATTTGCCATAGGAAGGAAACAATTTTGCACGTATTAGTCTTGTGGTAAAATTCATCAGTGATCGAGAAATTTTGTTCTCTCATCTCGATCATGTTTAAATGTTTTCGATTGAGAATTTGAGTCACAGAGTGAAAGATCGTAAGAAATCGTGCATATCCGAATTAATACATACATTTCATGTGATAAAAAGACGGGAAATGAAAAAAAAGGTAGTTATTCAGTAAAAAAAAGAAAAGAAAAAGGAAAAATGCGATATATCGGAAATAAACATGTGACACATGTGCGCGGATACAATGCAACAATAACAGAAAAGATGATGTAACGGAAGCGTGATAGTGCGAGTAAGTAACAAAGTTCGTTAAAACTCGTACGTGAACAAAATAATCTGTTACACGGCTCTCTTTACTCGGTAAATATTGGACAATACGATCTCGAGTGTTATGACTGTAACACTATTTGCTTCTGTCGACGTATAAGTCACTGTCAATTTCAAATTGCATAAGTTTGCGTTCGTCGAAAGCAAAGCCAAGAATCGAGAAAATACGATGTATGCCGGAAAAAACTGATCCAAGATGATTGACAGTTAATTGAATTGATAAGAGACAGAGGAAAAAAATGATTAACGAGCGTTTGTGGCGAATGAACAAACTATTTATCTCTTTCTTTCTTTTAATCATATTCAAAATAATTTTTTTTTACGAGTGTAATCTAATCGTGTTTGCGGAATACAAATGTTAATACTCTTACAAAATGTCACGTGAAATTTGCGTATTCCTAATATAGGAGTAGATTGGGAGAGTAATGCAATTTCTCATTTGTCCTTTGCTCCATAATGACATCAGAATAAAGGAAATATAACGAGTACGAAACTTTGATAAAAATGATTAATTGAGACCTGTTTGGCATAATTCTATTTTTATTTTATAATTACCTTTTTTATATTTAATACAATTTAATTGAATTATTTTTACATATATGCGAAGACAAATTTTCAATTTTTTGAAACATTAAAAAATATAATTTCACAGATCCAGAGATTAATTAATGATTTATTTGATTAATTGCGCTTTTCGATATCCGCGTATTATTTACAGCAGTCTATCTTCCTTATATATGAGTCAATTTTTAGAAAAGAGATATTTTGGCACTTCGTCCCATTGCTTCGCGAATTATTATTTCCGGTACATTTGTCAAATACGTAATCAGCCTCGAACTGTAAAACGACGAAACGAAATCTTCTCAGCAAGATAACTAATTAACGCGTACACAAGTTGTTTGATAAGTATGTATTATTATCAGGGTTGGGTAATAACTAATTAATTAGTTAAAAGTTTAAAAAAAGTTAAAAAGTTAATAACTTTTAACTTTATTGCTTAGTTAATTCAAAATATATTAATTTTTAACTTCAATTAGTATTTTTTACTTTAAACTTATTAACTTTTTTCCTAAATTAATTTTTTAGCTCTGAATATCACTTCTTATTTTTTTATAAGTTATAAATGTATTTTTAATTAAAGTATTATTAATTTTTATGTTTATTTGTTGTAATTACCAAAAAATATATTTCTATATAAAAATCAAGATTTTTTTGTTATTATATATTTTAAAAGAATTAACAAACAAAATTCTAATTTAATATAAATAATGTTTTTAAAAATGAACTTTTGATTTAATGCCAATTAATTTAATCTTAATTTTAATTTAGTTAATTTTTTGTTCATAAAACTTTCAACTTAACTAAATTAGTTTTATAAGCAATTAATTTTAACTTAACTTAGTTTTAAAAAATCAATAACTTATCCAACCCTGATAATTATCGGGAATTTTTGACGCGCCTATGTATACCGCGGCCGCGTCATAATCGCCGCACGTGTCACGTGTCTACCTCGTGTCTGCCGATTGTACTCGCGTGTTGCACTCCTGAACGCCCACGTTGTATCGTCTCCAATCACTACATACAGGGTGTCCCGTACCCTGATCACTGATTTACAGTAGGTTTCTCATGTCATCTGAAGACGATTTTTTCTCTGCAAAAATGTCGAGACGCCAATAATTTTCAAATTATAAATGATTGTAAGCGAGAATAAAGAATTTTTCGTAAACTAAGTCTCTTGTGTGAAAATTAAATATAAACAAAATCACATTCTTCAATTAATTTCAGGTAGAGCTTGGTTTAATAGAATTTTAATTTAAAGCTTTTAGATCCTTATCATGTTGAATTGTGACCTTAGAGGAAGCACATGCTGAAAATTCTTAGATGTTATTTTTAAATAAAAAAAAATACTTCGACGAAACACTATTTCAGGTTGCTTTAGCACACTTTTAAAATACCTCGAAAATTATATACTTTTCTTTTGACAGTCAATCAACAACCGTAAAATGATCGTGATATTAAACTTCGTTATGCAGAATGATTACGCAAAGAGCAAACAAATTACTAGGCCTCATATTACAGTCATTTTACAGTTGTTGATTGATTAAAGGAAAAGAATAGTTTTCGAGATATTTTAAAAGTGTGTTAAAGCCTAATCTAAAATGCTGTTTCATCGAAATATCTTTTTATTTCGAAATGGTATCTAAGAATTTTTAGCGGGTATTTCCCGCTTCTGACGTCACAATTGTAATTGGTCGGCGAGGAGCCAGGAGCCTTAAGACATTATTGTTTTATAAATTATAAACGTATTATTTTTAAATTAAAATGTCATTCATTTTTATGTTCATTTATTATCAATTGTAATTATCAAAAAGTATATTTCTATGTAAAAATTAAAATTTCTTTGTTATTTGTTATTATAAATTTTAAAAGAATTAACAAACGAGTTTCTAATTTAATATAATGTTTTTAAAAATTAACTTTTGATTTAACTTCAGTTAATTTAATCTTAACTTGAGTTAATTTTTGGCTCATGCAACTTTTAACTTAACTAAATTAATTTTATAAGCAACTAACTTTAACTTAACTTAGTTTAAAAAAATCATTAACCCTTACCCAACCCTGATAATTAGTTACAAAAAGATATATGATGGCAAAAATTGGGAACCTGCAAGAAATTATGACTTCCTTCGACATTTTTGCTGAGGAAAGATTGTCTCCAAATGATGTCAGGAATCTAACTATCAGTGATTTTCTGGGTACGGGACACTCTGTATACGTAAAGACTACGCGCGAGAAATTCAAGTGAGATCGTGGAAAAATATTTAATAATGCGAAATGATCAATCATTGCCGAGCCGATAATCCGCGAGAAGAACCGGTTAAAATTCGATAAGAGACGAATCAATATAAGCATTTTTGATTACGTGCTTTTGGATTATATGTATATAATTATCGCGTGCACATACATTGAATCTCTCTTATCTATTATATAAATATACATAATAATCGTTTCTTCCTCTTTTTCTGTACATTCTCTGTTCTCAATGTGAAATGATACAATGTAACGAGATTATAAAAATAATTGAAGAATTACATGTCACACAATTGAACGATTGTTGAAATTTTTTTCGATAATAATTGTGAAATAGATCGTATTAGATCGATAATTTTTTAATCGTTATTAGAATCACGACGAGGTGTAGAAACAGTAATTATAACTACAGTCCACTCTCATAACGACGAAATGAAAAAGTATCGATCGCGATAAGGAACAGTCGCATGGCATGTAAACATTCATTCGTTTTCATTGCACGCAGACTCGATATGACTTGGAGAACAAATATCAGATCGGTATCTTTGTGTAGAAAAACTTTTACGGGATATATATATAATTTCCAGCAATGTATAAAAATCGATAATCGATAAATAAGTGCAAAACATTATCAGAGACACGTTTTCTTTCATCCTTGAATTCGACGAAAAAAATAATCGCGATAATATTTCGTGATTTTGGTAAACAGAATTTGCTGGAAAATAAACTAACGCAAAACGTGTAATTATTATCAGGCGTGAAAATAAAAAAACAACACTATATTGGAATGTTTCCGGAAGGTCACGCATTTGCGCGCGCTAGATGCACGTGCTTTTAAGAAATCTCTCGATCGCGAACCAAACATGCACAACCAATGATTGTGCATTACGTAAACAAGTTGGCCATTATACTCAATGTCGCCTCCAAGAACGCGCGTATGTTTGTTTGTTAAATGTATAATTAATTAATTACAACGGTATAACGTCTCTGCAAAAATCCGTGCGAATCTCCCATTGAATTCAATGATACATTATATATAATCGCATCCGTTCTTCGTCCTTAGGTTTTTTTAGATGCAAAGGATGCAGCTTTTAATTCGAGATTGAGATATGAAAATCAAATGATGTAATAGTGCCGAGTTTAGATAAATTTTCCTTAATATTAGCTCTTAGATAATTATTTGCCTCGCGTAATATATGTAATTGCTTTGAAATTGATTTGAAATGACGTTAATTGATAAGAAATATTTTTGAATTTTTATATTTATCGTGTTTTTACTTACTGACGTATGTATATATTTTTGTCGTTTGATCAATTAAAATAGAAAATAGCTGACAAGATGTGCATTCGAGAACGTATTTAGTATTTAATATGACCATCCGCTTTAATTCATATGAAGAATCCAAGAACGATCGATAAAACATCAGGTAAAATTGAAACTCTTACGTCACCTTAAAGAAGATAGATGTTTACTGTCAACGAGCTAGCGGTCATCGGAATTATATTACAATAATAATACAATAATACGCGCTTTCTGCCACGCAGTTATTTTATACGGCTGATTTATCGAAAAGAGAGATCCGTCTATAAATAGCAAATAATTTAATATGCCGCATTTTCTTACACAAGATAACGACATTTTTATGCAAAGCAATAAACTGCAAGATCTAATTTTAAATACAACGTAAAGATTTCCCACAAATTATTTTGGCAAAAAAAAAATTATTTTTTAGATTTTTTTCCACTTTTGTGAATGATTTTTTCACATCTGTGTCTACGTTTACACTTATAAATTTTCTTTTTTTTTTTTACAGCGCCGGTGGTTTAGTAACCGCAGTAGCACCGGTTGTCATAAGTGGAAATGGAATCTGGGTCGGATGGCCTGGTATGCATATGGAAAATCCGAACGAACCAATCCCCGAATCCGACCCCAACGATCGTACACCTACCGCAGGTCTGCTGTCTCGAAAGGTGAGTTAATTACTGGTATTTAATAACGATCGATCTTTCGATTCGTATCGGCGTCTTACATTTAAAAGATCGTTCAAACGTGGAAAAAATTGACGTTCTTTTTTAATTTATATACATATATATAGGTATATACATATTTTTTTCTCTAATTTACGTCTCTCAAAGTGGATGTACGTTTTAAGAGAAAAATTGATTCTTAAAGTTATATCACATACCAGAGAAAAGCCTATGTGGACCTATGTCAAGAATATTAAAATATTAAAATCTGTTACTTCTTTTTTTTCAAAAGCATTTAGAATAACTCTAGAAAGAAAATTGTCCATGTCGTCGTAGTCATATTTTTTTAATGCATCCAAATATTTGTGGAATGCATTTTGGTGTTTCACTGACAATGAGTGAGTTTTATTCAAACTCAGCAGGTCAGAAAAAAAATCGAAAAGATTATTTGAGAGGGCAAATTAGCCGTATCTAGGCCAGGTAGCGATCTTATCATAATTGCCGCTGCAATTACGCGAATTTGCTAACCTTGGCATTGACAATATACCGCGTGGCGGAGAGAATAGAGTCACGGTTCCCCACCTCAATCACCTGTAATATTCCACGCCACGCCGTCGTATGTCTCGAAAATTCCAACGTAATTGCCTTTTTCGTCAAATAAATTGCGTGTAAATCGATAACGATTTTTTACTCTTTTTTCCTACCTTTTATTTACAACGCAATTAAAAGAGGAGGTGCGTCAATGTTATTCTCGATCGATAGTCAAAGAATATATTTTATTATTACAATATCTATTTTTGATTGATCGTTAAAAATTAATCGCACATGTTTATGAACAATATTGTTTATAAAAACAATAAATTGTTGCGGAACAAGATAAGCACGAGAATCGCTCGTACGGAGAATAAATAATGAATGCAACAGATCGATTCGGAGATGCCCTTTGCCTTTTCTCTCGACGTTAAAAAGTTCGGTGACAGCTAAAAACAGCTTATTTATAGTTGTTTTTCCGTGGCGATATCGTGTATTTTCCGACAAGAGCAATGTGACTATGCTTACTGATAAACGATCATTTTACTCTCTTTCAATACGCAGAATATATATAGCTTGTAACCATTGAACAATATACGTTTAATTTTATTGATAATCAAAAATTATTTTATTAACATTAATTGAAATATATAATAACACCAAGAAATATAAGCTTTAAAAAAATTGCAAAAAGTTGAAAAAGATATTGTTAATTCTCACAGTTTGCAAAAATAATTCAGTCATTTAAAATTAAAAGAGAAACGTACAAAGATCTTCTCTAATTTAATCCTAGTTGTAGAATAAAATAGAACGACGAAGTTCAGGAATTTTGATTTGTCGTAAAACATATTTATTACATTGAAAAAATTATCAAATTAATAAATACTTATTTCAATATTAAATATTTATTTGTTTCGAAAAGGATTTTCTTATATCAAATAAATATTTTTTTCACATCAAATCAATATATCATTAGTTTCAAAAAATGATTTATAAGGCAGTGTTGAAATAAATCAATATTTATTCGAATTCAATAAATGTTTGTCAGCGAATCTCTACGGCTCATTGTTTCCCGCACTTTTGAGGAAAAAGAATAAATTGTAGATAATAAATAATATTTTGCGACAGATGATTATTGATAATCAAAAATTATTTTATTAACGTTCATTGAAATATATAATAACACTAAGAAATATAAGCTTTAAAAAAATTGAAAAAGATATTGTTAATTCTCACAGTTTGCAAAAATAATTCAGTCATTTAAAATTAAAAGAGAAACGTACAAAGATCTTCTCTAATTTAATCCTAGTTGTAGAATAAAATAGAACGACGAAGTTCAGGAATTTTTATTTGTCGTAAAACATATTTATTACACTGAAAAAAATTATCAAATTAATAAATACTTATTTCAATATTAAATATTTATTTGTTTCGAAAAGGATTTTCTTATATCAAATAAATATTTTTTTCACATCAAATCAATATATCATTAGTTTCAAAAAATGATTTATAAGGCAGTGTTGAAATAAATCAATATTTATTCGAATTCAATAAATGTTTGTCAGCGAATCTCTACGGCTCATTGTTTCCCGCACTTTTGAGGAAAAAGAATAAATTGTAGATAATAAATAATATTTTGCGACAGATGAAATCTCCTCGAACGTCGGTCGGATAAAACGAAATGAATGAAATGACTCGGCTGTGATCCGGGTGTCACGGATATTCGTGTCGCGGGGTCGCAAATCACGAAGGGTTATCGTTGCGTGACGCGTTTGCGAGCCCCGTTACGTCTCCATCGGCCAGATAGACGATGACTTTTGCTAATTGTGAGTCTATGGCAGCTTTATACGACGATTCATTATTAAGGATTAACTTATTACGTCCATGCGAGCGTGATGGGGAGCGCGTAAATCTCGCTCAGGCGAGAGATTTTCCTCAAAATCGCCGAGAACATCCGGATATCGTCTGGACGACAGTCTATAATATCTTCTGAATAACGATGCAATTATAGTTAGATAATAAAATAATATACATATAAAAGGCAATAAGAGCTATAGTTAAGTTCTTTTATTAATATTTATTTGTGGAAAAAGATTTATTATATGTTATTTATTATATTAATTATATGTATATATGTTATAAATCTTTTTCCACAAATAAATATTAATGAAAGAACTTAACTAGCTCTTATTGTCTTTTATATGTATATTAATTTTTAAAGAGCTGTTACAAATTATAATAATAAAATAAGTAATGCAGTTTTTACGCAACTCTGAACTGTGAATTGTACGTCCTGCTCGATGATTATTCAACGAACACGTGCCTGAAACGTCAAAAAATTATTTTTTGTATAGGCAAATAATTCGGCAAAATGTTAATTTTTTTTTTTTTATGTAAAATAGAGAAAATGCATTATATCTATCTTTTTTATAGAAATGCATTTTTATCGATGTACCTCAGAATATCGCGGACGTATTTAATTGAACAATAAAAGTTCTGGATTTTTTTTCCTTGCTTTCTCCATTTTTCTTATATCGAGTCTTTCTTCATCAGCGTCTGCATCCCCACTTTAACAGCCCTATTTTTCTGTCTATCGCGACCGGGACGTTCAATAATATGTTACATGTTTACATAACACACACATATAAGAAACAAAGAAGGCGAAAGGGGAAAACAACGTTACAAGAAGAGAGGGAAAGCAGACTATCATGTCACGTGGAATGTGCACGCGATAACGAGCAATTAAAATTGTTTACGTTATATGTTTCTAAATAGGCCGTTATACGAAATAATGGACCAAGACGTTTTTTTTAATGTCACATAAAATTGATCCGATTATGGCTCCGATTTAACCCCTTCACTTCCTCCTAAATACATATAAACAAATAATCGGAAGACGAGAAAGATATCTAAAATGATTGCGCCAAAATAATTAGATGCGAAAAAAATGTGTAAAAAATCTTTCTCGTGTTCGACATGAATCGTTTAATCGAAAGCATCGAATGACGTGTCGCAAGTGTTGCGTAGAGCTATCAATAACGCGGAATATCCCGTTATCTCCTAATTAAGATTATAACATATTTTATGAATTTTTTTCATTATACGAAAGTATAGAATATACTCTTAATTAACAATTCCGAGACTTTGTTGCGATATCGAGTTTTAAGTTAAAATTCATCGAGGTCATCGCTTGTTTCCTCCCGATTCTGCTCGATTGAAGCAAAGCTGTCAGTGTAAGTAAATGTTGATAGGTTTTTATCGTACAGCGCGATTAAACAATCTTTGCGACACGACGAGGATTCTCGAACGAGAGGAAACGATAACAATGCGTGACCGATTCTTGATCCACCCGTGAATATATATATATATATATATATATATATATATATACAGGGTGTCCCATCAAAAGTAGCCACTCCCTTTTATCTTTGAAACTAAAAGAGATAGATCATAAAAATTATATATGAAATTAAATGGTGAACTCAAACTGAACTTTTTTTATGAGCACAGTGGTTGCTTACAAAAACAAGTTCAGTTTGAGCCATTTAATTTCATATATAATTTGTATGGTCTATCTCTTTTAGTTTCAAAGATAAAAGGGGGTGGCCACTTTTGATGGGACACCCTGTATATGTATATAAGCGCGAAGAGAGAGAGAGAAGCTTTCCCTGACCTCTCTTAATTAATGTGGACCAGCGATATCCGTGAATAAGGAATAACAAACGACCAATCGCGGATTGGTTGTGTCTATCTTTCGAAAAAGCATTAAGCCGCCTTATCGCTCGATTGTCCGCTTGCGTCAGACGGAGAACGATCTTTCTCTTTCTTGTAACGCGGCCTGTTTTCACACTCGGTCGGAAATAAAGGAGGCAGTGTCGCGAGCAAAATAACGAAGAGAGACGATATAATGACCGATGAAGGGGAGGCCGATACGTCGTTATCAGACGCGAAACCAGACTTTATGCACTTCCGACCCGTTCATTCTCAGCTATTTCACCCTCCCTTTTATCTCGTTTCTTTTATTACCCTCGTCTCGGGTTTCTCTCGCCTTTCCGTCATGATATCCACCCCCAGAATGTTCGAGCGACTTTATAGATTTAAGTATATATATGCACATCTCGTCGTCTATAGTGCATATTTTACACACCGATGTGATAAGCTTCGTAAAATATGTATCTTTATTTTTTATATATAAATCTTTCTCCTTTTAGTTTTTATATTGAATTTTGCCGGAATAACGAGTTATATTGAATCGTTTGCTTTATGGATATTAATTAGAATCATGGGCGTCTGCAGGAAGTGGCAAGAGGATGCATTTGCTTTCCTTTTAAATAAACACTGGAGTTTATTTGGATATTTAATAGAAAAAATAAAAATTACAAAAAAAATTAAATCTAAAAAAGAAAGAACCAAAAATAATAAAAAAATTTAATCATTTAATCTTTCCCCCTGAAGAAAAAATCCTGCGGACGCCCGTGATTAGAACAATGTGATTGATAATGTATTAATTTTAGAAATTGTCATCTCCTATTTTGAGACACATTGTTGCTTCTGTTACCGATCGGAGTAATGAGGAAACATTACGAAAAATTGTAGTTTTATCGCTCCAATTGCTATCTCTCTCCTTGTTTTCAGGTTGTGGCGGTACACGTTGACCCCGGCATCTTCGATTCGTATTACAACGGATGCTGCAACGGAACCTTCTGGCCGCTCTTTCACTCTATGCCGGATCGGGCGACCTTCATCGCGGAACATTGGCGCGCGTATTCCGTGGTCAACGAACAATTCGCCGCTAAAACGGTACCATTGTATAATTAGTATCGTTTTTTTGTTTGAGAAAAATATTTCTGTCTCAGTCGAATTAATAGATATTTATTTCCTTAGCGACACGAAGCAAAATCATACAAACGAATTAATATAAATTATTTTTTTCGATTTTTTTAACGGATCTGTTGTTGCAGGTCGGCGCCTTGGAACAAATTCACAAGGAACAGGAGAACCAGTCCAATGGCACCCCGTTGGTCTGGGTTCATGATTATCACCTGATGTTAGCCGCCAATTGGATTAGACAAGCGGCGGATGATAAGAATCTCAGGCTCAAATTAGGTTTCTTCCTTCACATACCCTTCCCGCCATGGGACATCTTCAGACTCTTTCCGTGGGCGGACGAGATCCTGCAGGGTATGCTTGGTGAGTGTGTTCGAATCCTATTAGTAGTATTTTCTTAAATTAGAACCTAAACCTATACCTTGGACTAACTTCTAATGTAGCTCACTTGTTTATTTAGGGTGCGACATGGTGGGTTTTCACATCCAAGATTATTGTCTGAACTTTGTCGATTGCTGCCAGAGGAGTCTTGGCTGCAGGGTAGATCGGAAGAATTTACTAGTCGAGCATGGCGGCAGAACGGTACGAGTAAGACCGCTGCCAATTGGCATTCCGTTTGACAGATTCGTCTCGCTAGCCGAGACTGCCAATAAGGTCATGCAGTCGAATCAAAAGATCGTTCTTGGTGTCGACCGGCTCGATTATACGAAAGGCCTCGTTCATAGATTGAAAGCTTTCGAGATGCTACTGTTGAAGCATCCCGAACACCGTGAACAGGTCTGTTCAAACGCATCTCTTTGCAAATTGTTTCGCAAATTATATAATTAATCCGAGACATTAGAGAATTAAATATATGTATATTCAATTTTATCGCAGGTAACGATGTTGCAAATCGCAGTGCCCTCGCGCACCGACGTTCGCGAGTATCAGGATCTGAAACTCGAGATGGATCAACTGATAGGATGTATAAATGGTCGCTTCACCACACCCAACTGGTCGCCCATACGTTATATTTACGGTTGCGTGAGCCAGGACGAGCTAGCGGCTTTCTACAGAGATGCTGCCGTCGCTCTCGTCACGCCGCTCAGGGATGGCATGAATTTAGTTGCTAAAGAATTCGTCGCTTGCCAAATCAATAAACCGCCAGGAGTGTTGATAGTCTCGCCTTTCGCCGGTGCCGGCGAAATGATGCACGAGGCTTTGATTTGTAATCCTTATGAGATTGACGAGGCTGCTGAAGTCATTCACAGGTATATATGACTGTTCTTTTTCATTCTAATAAAATTAATCTGACAAAACTGCCGACATAATTAGACATTTTGTCTGTAATCTGGCAATCTTCGATCATTTTAAGATGCATTTAAACATTAACGACATTAAACTAGAATAATTTAAAATGTTATGTTTAAATAGGGCTCTTACTATGCCTGAAGATGAACGTACATTAAGAATGAATCATTTGCGTCGACGTGAGAGGATATACGATGTCAACTACTGGATGAAGTCCTTCCTTCAGGTGATGGGATCGCTCGAAGAACACGATTCCGTAGGTGCTACCACGATGCAGCCTGTGACAATGGATGATTTCGACGACTACTTGAGCAAGTAGGTATTAGATGTGTTAAGAGATGTGCATGACTGGGCCCGACCAGCGCATGCGCATGAACGGGATACATCCACGTAAGGTATGATATATAAGTACAAAAGTAAAAAAGATCCAAGTAATTATTATCTGAAATTAAGAATTACTGCATTGTATACATATATACGGTTGAGATTACTTAAAATTTGCATAAGATAATACTAATTGTAAGCGAACCAGCTATACGCTTTTTCAAGTGATACTTTTAAGCTAAGCATGAGTTTTGGTACGTCGCGGCGTGGCGACATAATTATATACGGCTATGCTTACATATATATATATATATATATATATACATATATATACATACGTCGCTATGATATGGCTGTGACGAAGAATTATAATGCATTTTCTTGCGCTATGTGGGATATTAATCCTATAATATCCTATATCCATACGATTTTGGGGCAAACGAGAAAGATATCGAAAAAAACGCTTCTTCGAGAGACGGCGGGCCCGCGCGAGCGAATGTTACCTGACTCATGACGAAAGCCGGATAACGATCCAGTGACAACCACATGTCCCCTAGGTACATCGGTGATAATCATAAATTGGCACTTCTTTTGGATTACGACGGTACACTGGCGCCTATAGCCACTCATCCTGACCTAGCAATCTTGCCGCTTGAGACGAAAAACGTTCTTCAAAGGTTGTCCAACATGTCAGACGTTTATATCGCGATTATATCAGGCAGAAACGTGAACAATGTAAAATCGATGGTCGGGATAGAAGGTATCACGTACGCCGGAAATCACGGATTGGAGATTCTACATCCGGACGGCAGCAAATTCGTTCATCCTATGCCTGCCGAATTGGAGGACAAAGTGGGCAGTCTGATGCAAATGCTTCAAGAACAGGTACTTTGAAATTTCTGATTGAAATCTCTATATACCACCGTTGTACATTTTTTAATAAATTTTATATTACGTGTATCCTCTGCGAAATTATTAAGGAAGTATGGTAAATGTATTGACATCTCATATTATCTGTCTGCTTAAAGCTCTGCAGGGACGGTGCATGGGTCGAGAATAAAGGCGCGCTTCTGACGTTCCACTATCGCGAGACACCGGTGGAGAGTCGTCCCAGGATGATAGCTCAAGCTAAGAAACTTATCGAGGCCGCTGGATTCATGGCCTGTACCGCGCATTGTGCCTTAGAGGCGAAACCGCCAGTCGAATGGAACAAGGGTAGCGCTTCCATCTACATTCTACGTACAGCCTTTGGTTTAGATTGGAGCGAACGTATCAGGATCATATACGCCGGTGACGATGTTACAGACGAGGACGCGATGAAGGTGCGAATTTTTTTATTTCTACCAGAGCAATGATATCTTTCAATCGATTAAAAACGATATTCATTAACGTTCTACGATCATCATGAGAACTTTAATTTGTTTCTGCATAGACTTTGAAAGGTATGGCCGCCACTTTCCGCGTGGCATCGTCGCATATTATCCGTACGTCCGCGGAGAGACGTCTTCCCAGCACGGATTCGGTGCTCACGATGCTAAAATGGGTCGAGAGACATCTCAGTAAACGCAAGCCCCGCAACAGCATCGACATCCCGGGCATCCCGTCACGATTTCGACGCAGCAGCGGTGGGATAACGATGGAGATGTCTTACACGCCACCAAGATCACCCCTTGAATCGTAGGTTACGCTCAAATATCCTTCGTTATAACATATCAAATGTATGCCCGGCGCGATATATATTATACATATATCTGTCTTAGGGTTATAATAATGTACACGCAGAGTCTTCGATTTATTCGTATTTAGTATTTACACGTATACGGGGTGTCTGACATAAGGTGTCACACTTAAAATATACAAGTAGATTTTATTATTTGGAGACAATTTTTCCTAAGTAAAAATATTGAGGTATCAATAATTTTCGAGTTATAAGCGATTGAAAATAAAGGGTTTTTCGCAAACTAAGTCTTGTGGAAATAAAATATTGACAAAACCACATTCTCCAATTAAATGTCAAGTAGAGTTTACTTTAATAAAATTTTAATTTAATAAGGTTTAGTTATAAAGATACATGATCTCCCTCGACATTTTTGCTGAGGAAAAATTGTTTCCAAATAACAAGATCTACTTGTATATTTTCGGTGTGACACTTTATATCAGACACCCTGTATATGCATTATCCAAATGTGGCTCTGATATGTGATAAATTCATATGTCATGGTCATCTCGAATGACACTGCATGTACTCATAGTGTGTAAAGTCTACTGGGAAAGATGGAGGAGTAAAAGGAAATTAAAAGATTGCCACGAGCAATCTGAGAACAGGTAAAAGGAGAGATGGGACAAATTAACGAAATCTATATAGTCGAATATAAAGAGATATTCGCGATCGAAAAGTTGAAACGGATGATTTTCTTCTCGATCGAAAGTATGATAGTGATATCATCGTATTATCAACACAAACATTGACTAAAGAGTACGAAGAACCATTCAATTTATCGTATAGCTTTTATCGTCGAGCAATGTTTTTTTTTCCAATATCAGTTAGACGATCTTGACGAGCTCGAAAAATATCTAGCTCGAACAAAGTACCTGCGATATCGCGATCGATGTTTTCCGCGCAATTCAAGCTCGGCTCTACAAGATTTTATATATAATATACATATCTATTTTTCTCGATATATTCTTTTACTGAATCACATTAATCGGATCGCGTAGAACACGATCCCACAGGGGATTTCTCTGCAAAGATGTAGCAACTAGACTTTTAGTTCCTAAGTTCGCGCGCGTTACCGATAAACAACGCAGTAAATTGAAAGTGCAAGGTATATTTATTAATTTTGTGTTTTATCTTGTTAACAATTTCTAGATCATTGACATGACAACATGTAAGTATAAAGACATCAATTGTCCCAACTCTTATATGCTTTTTAGAAATAATTAATAATAATTTTTGTTTTTTTCTTTTTCTCTTCTTTTTTTTAATAATCACGAATATAAATAATAATTTCTTTGGATTCGACATTAAAAATTCCTTTGATTCTGTTCTATCGTTCTTCCTAAAAATGCGTTTGAGTGCGCGCGCGAGTCACACCTCTGATATTAAAATAAAATAACAAACTAACAAGTAATCAATCTTGCTAATAAAGCAATTATATTTTTTTCGTGTATAGGAATAGAAGTTTAGCTTTTAATATTAGGGGCTGTACTACTTTTCACTCATTGTCAGTGATATGCCAAGTTACCAAAAAACGGTGCCAATTTCTATTTCTATCGTGTCGCGTAATACGGTGAACAATTGTCGATATGATGATGAGAAACGTAAAAATATATGGATGCACATTTTACAGGAATCGGCTGAAAGTCTAACGAGCACGCAAAACTGTGGACGAATAATCGTCTAGTGTGAGATGCCGCAAAAAGCAAAGATTTTAGAAAGGTAGACTCAAATTAGTTTTTACACTTTTTTAAGTAGAATAAGACGCGATATGTAAAGAAAAAAAGGAAAGCGAAAGAAAGTACTGGTATTTACTGCATATAATCGATTTTTCGCGGTTGTGTCTACGATTATTTGCGATAATAAATATAAGAAACAGTATACACATATATGTATATATATATATATAATCTATATATATGTGTATATATAATATACATATGCATGTATATTTTAGAATCTATGTCTTCTGTATGACGTGAAAAGATAGTGTCGTTGTGCGTTTTTTCATGCCGCCGGATAATACTGATTATAAACTGGTATAAACTGGCAACACGCATATCCGTCTCTTGTCGCGAGCTTATTTTGAAGGGAAAAAACTTTCTGAAAGTAATGCGCAAATGAATGGCGTCATTAAATGTACAAAATAAAATTCGATGATTCAAACGAAAACAGAATGTCTTCAAAAAGGTCACCAAATTTAATGATTTTAATCGATTATGTAAATAAATGAGAAGATTTGTTCTAAAGTTTTAAAACTGCCTGAAATTATGAGAATAAGAAAATATGAATATATATTTATATTATTTATTTCTATAAAAAGTTAATTAGAATTTTGATATTTAAGAGAAAATATTTTTGATTAATATTGTTTTAATCACATCATTTAACTATTTTCTGAAAAAAAAAACTCATTTCTTTGAAATTCATTTTAGAATATAATTATGTCGCGTGTTATTAAGATTTTTCTCTCGCGTATAACTTTCGCATATTGATTTTTTAAATCAGTCTAAAACGTCGTTCTTTCTGTGTCATCAGATTCAAACACATTTATGAAATTAACTAATTCATTAATTATAGAGCAAAATAATGCGTAGCAATCGAAGGATTCATTTCTCGTATAACATCTAAATATCAACTATCGATATCTCGAAAACGCCACGAATGTTACGAGCGCAGGTCAAATCCAGTAATCTCGTACACTTTCGCCTTTGTATTTATTAGTCAATTATAATAATCGCCAAACTATACAACATAAGTAATAATAAGCGAAGCGAGATGTGACGAAGAGAGAAAAGAACGAAACAAAGTTTGTCACCCAGTGACATTCGCCAAGAACCAAAAAAAAAAAAAAAACCAAATGTATAGATTATACCTGTCGAGTGTATCGCATAACGTTATTTCTATTGAAAGTACACCAAGAAAACAAATATTGTGTATATAATGAGATAGATGTGTAAATGTAAGCGTATAGGAATCCTACATATACATCACATGTGCCCTTAAAGCAAAATCTCTCCAAACCCGCCCTCTTTTTCCTCCGTCATACACAAAAAAAGGAAAAGAAAAAAAAACGCAAGCTCTATTTTACGTTTTGTAAGAGTACTTAGTTTTTACCTCGTTATTACACAGGCGTGTGTGAAATAAAAACAAACGCGCGAGATAGTGCGAGTAAACGACTCAAAACTGGTTTACTCCCGTTGCTGTAAAAGCGAGCTCACAAAACGCAGTGCAGGAATAAACATCGTTTATAAATTACTTGCGCGCGTGTTTTTCTTTCTTTTTTTCCTTCTTTTATGCTACCGCTACTTTTGAGCGAAATTCCAACGATCTAAAAGCGGATACTAGATGCTTTATGCGTAGATTTAATTTATATACATATATACATATGGCGATAATAATTAACCACAGTTTCAAAATTATTAAATTATAAAATGCAACATTGATCAATCGGAGATCGATTGAACTTTCCTGAAGAATCGAGAGAGACTTGCTCAATTTTGTAAAATGTGAGAGAAGCTATACTTGGAATTCAATTTTCAATTCCGCCTGGAAAGCATTAGTCTCGATTATATTGAGAATATTTGCGTGAATCGAAAAATCACTATTTTCTCCTTTTTTGTTTTCTCTCTCTTTCCTTTTAGGAATTTCATCGCGCTCCGGCAATAAATAATGATAGGAATGCCGGGCCAGACGATATCGCGTTTGTATATCGTCGTTGTTTTTTACGGCGTAACCTCTGACGCGTTGAGACATATGTCGAGCCAACGATTAAAAGTATTTTTTTTTTTTATTTTTATTTTTTACAACACAAACGTGTCACTGATGCGTGCCCGAGAGCAGAGCGAAGCGGTGACGCAACGAGCCGTCACAAGCGCTACGGATAATAATAATTGACGCGGATATAGAGGGAGGATGCGGGAAAACACATGCGGATTTTTATTATTTTTTTTATTTATTGCTTCCTCTAATCGATATCGCGACGGATTCGCAAACGAGAAGTGTTAATATCCAGTTACATATACGCAGGGTGTCCGGTAACTAACGGACCAACGATTACAAATGGATTCTTTGATCAATTTGGGAACGATTTTTCCTCAGCGAAAATGTCGAAAAAGGTCATCATTTTTTACAACTTTCCAATATTTGTCATTACGCATCTTTATAACTAAGCCTCAAATTAAAATTTTATATTACAGTAAACTCTACCTGAAATTAACTGAAGAATGTAATTATGTTATAGACTTTAAACTCCAAAACGTTTAGTTTTCAAAAAACCCATTTGTTTCAATCGCTTATAACTCGAAAATTATTAACTTCTCCACATTTTTGCTAAGGAAAAATCGTCTCCAAATCGGCCAGAGAATCCGCCCTTAATCATTAGTCCGTTAGTTACCGGACACCCTGTATACATTTAGACACACACTTTTTCGAGAGATCCCGCTCTCGCAATATCAAATAATACACGCAATATGAAAAAAAAATAGCAAAACGTGAATGTCTTTGAAAATAAAACATCATTATTTAAAAAAAAAAAAGATTATCACGAGACTTCTTTCAGTGTGTCATACAAGGTACGAATTAAACCGCAACCCTTTCCTTTCCCAAGTTCGAAAGAACGCGCGACCTCATCGGAGGATTATGTACACGCACGTACAACGTGCACGATCGAGGAAGAGATCTCGAAATCGCGGGCCTGCGAGGTCCAGAGGATGACAGGAGATCTTTCCCGATAGAGTCGCGCTCGAGATTTTGTTGGAAACATCCAAATATTTTCATTGGAGAACGCCCGGCTCGCAGAGAGAGCAGAGGGTGGGCCACGTGATTTCGAAAGGAATCGATCGACCGGGCCGATTCACCGATTCAGGATCGGCCGCGATCCCGCAGTCGCTGTATAAAGAGGCGGATTACACGGTGTCCATTTCAAGATGTACAAGGAATTGGTGTTTGCGGTGAGTCTTTCTCTCTCTCTCTCTTCTGGGCTGCTGCGGGCGTACACGGTAGGGGCATTATCTTCGCTGTTTTGCCGATTCAATTGTGTGTGCGGAGAAAGGCGGCGTTTAACAAGAGTTTAATAAAAGGCAAACAGCGCGAGGGTCGTCCTCGTTTCTTCCGCTTCTGCGCGCGCGAGAATCGTTCCCTCCCTCTCCTTTTTCAACCCCTCAATCTCATCCCTCTCCCTCCGATGATCGCCCTTCTCTTCCTCGAAGGGATTACCGGGAAATACCGGGCCTGTCGGTTTGTCCGCCGAAGAAGAAAGGAGAGAATACGCGAAAGGAAAGAGATTCGAGAAAGGATCCGCAGCTGCCACGCACCGATGACCCCACGAAAAAGTAGAGTGATTCCTCGCTTTCCCTTCGGATTTTTCCGTTTTCGCTTGATCCGCGGGATATGTAGACCGCGCTGCCAGTAGAATGTGTTTTTCGGGATGTAGAAGAAGCCAACTGCGAGGGCGGATGGACAAGCGGGATGAGCTTCGAGAAACTCGGAGATTCGGGGGAGTTCAACAGTTCTTGTGCATCCCCAAAGCGTCTTAAAAATTGCGACTTATACTGGGTGTCCCAGAATTACCGTATCACACCGTTAATGGGAGATTCCTGAGGCGATTTCGAGACGATTTTTCCTCAGCGAAAATGTCGAGAGAAAGGTCATCGTTTTTTTTATGTTTCCAATTTTTGAAATCGTGTATCTTTGTAACTAAGCCTTGAATTAAAATTCTATTAAAGTAAATTTTACCTGAAATTAATTAAAAAATGCAGTTTTGTTAATAATTTATTTTTACAAGGCTTAGTTTACAAAAGAGATTTTATTTTCAATCATTTATAACTCGAAAATTATTGGACATTTTTGTCGAGGAAAAATCGCCTCGGGAATCTCCCATTAACGTGTGATACGGTAATTCTAAGACACCCTGTATATTTGTAAAACATATTTTTAAAAAACCGAATCATTTAATTACACTCGGCAAGGATAGACTGTCTACAGATAAAAAGATTGAAGTAGTTTACGAAATTAATTGTAATGATTGCAACGTGTCATGCATCGGACAATTATTTTATTTATATCTTATTATTTTATTTATATTTTATTATTTTTGAAAAAGTAAAACTCTTCTCTCGACCGTACTGGCAAATATTATTTATTAAATCACAACGTTTCGACTTTTCTTTGAGTCCTTATCAAGTGATCTAGATATACATAAAGAAGAAATACAGATAAAAAGACTGAAGTAGTTTACGAAATTAATTGTAATTTATCAGTTATCAGCAAACAGAAAATTGAATTCGATCACGATTTTGACTGAACTTCGCCGGTTATTTTGCACAGTGAAAAACACGTAAGAAAAAAAGAAATCGCTGAAATGTTTTTTATTAAGAAAAATATTAACGCTATTAACTTACAAAAGGATACCGACAATTTAAGTAATATCTACGACAAAATAATAAAGGTCGTTTAGTCTCTCATAACTTGTCTAAGAGTCTTGACGTGTTGGCAAACCGATACTATGTTCGTTCTTGACATCTTAAAATTATAATTTTATTTTCACAAGTATGTTTCGCTTTTTTTTTATTATTTTGTAATATTGTTAAGTGAAGTAATTTTTTTATTGTATTAATCTCTGTACTGTATTTCTTCTCTATGTATATCTAGATCACTTGATAAGGACTCAAGGAAGGGTCGAAACGTTGTGATTTAATAAATAATATTTGCCAGTACGTTCGAAAGAAGAGTTTTACTTTTTTATATATTTGTGTGTTCAAAAACACAAGTTCAAAATGAAATGATAAATGTATGCTTTACGAGAAAGGAGAGTTTTATAAAGTTGTACTCTAAAGATAACAAAAATTAAATAGGGGTTGTTGGTTTCATCCCCTTATAACGATGCAGGAAAATCAAGAAAATATTAAAAATATAAATATCCTTTTTATTAGTGGAAAATATTCTCACCAAGTTTCATTTTTTTAATTGAAAAAAATTAATTTCATTTTTACCTCTCTCTTGAGAAAAATATGTTTCTCTTAATTTTCGGTAAAAAGCATCATCCACAATTTTTCCCACTTATTTAGATATCACCCTATACATAATATGACTTGTCAGAAATAGGCTCTTAGAGTTTGTATAAACGAAACAAAAAATTAAATAGGGGTTGTTGGTTTCATCCCCTTATAACGATACAGGAAAATCAAGAAAATATTAAAGATATAAATATCCTTTTTATTAGTGGAAAATATTCTCAGCAAGTTTCATT